AAGGGAAACCCGCTGTCATACGCGGTGACATGAGAAAATCCACGAAAACGCCCATGCAACCAGCCCGTTTACCAGTGTTCGAACCCCGGAGTGAACTACAGTATTCAGCAACTTTACCGCTCGGCCGTTTGTGGGCCTTTATGAATGGAAGGCGATAACTTTATTTAAAATGATTGTCAGAAATACCAAAATGTTTCGAAAAGTTGGATACTTTTTCAATATACTTTCAGAATGTTTAAAGAAAAAGAGAAGAAAAAATAAATTTTTTCGTAAAATTTAGTATTCGTATTTTTTTTTTTTTTTTTAATTTAAAAACTTTTCAATCTTATGATATTTGATTCTTGCGATTTCAAAAATAAAATATTTGACTAAAATGTGAATAACATTTAAGAAACCAAATGTAGGATAAATTGGTAAAGCAATGGGCACAATGATAAAACTGTTTAAAGCAGTGTATGCAAGTCATCCTAAGTTAAAATTGGTTATACATCTCTCTTATTATATAATTTTTTCTGAACGGAACATTGAAGGCGTGTAAACTGTGCTTACTGTATTTCTCTTTATTGGCGCCATCTGTTGGTGAAATCAGAACTAAAACATAATTTCTTTAAAGGCCAAAGGCAAAGATGGATTGGAATTAGGATCATTAACTAGAACAGAAAGGTTTTTTTTTTAATGTGAAATGCTTCTAGAAAATCCATTTCTCGAATGGAAGATGTTTTTTGAATAATTTTGGCAGCAGAAAAATTGAAAGTGTGATTTTTGGACCAACAATGTTGAGCAACAGAAGACTTCTGTGTTTCCTTTTTTCTAACATATGACTCATGTTCCTTGACGCGAAATTTTAAGGCTCTCTTAGTTGGCCTGTTAAACCACACTTCAGTTTTTCTGCTGCCAAATTATTCAAAAAACATCTTCCATTGGAGAACTGGATTTCTAGAGGTATCATTTATAAAAAGTTCGTTCTAGTTACGATCCTAATTCCAATCCAAATTTGCCTTCGCCTTTTTTTCCCCCACAGGAAGGAAACTAAATTGCCATATATTAAGAAGTTTTCCAAGTGCAAACTGTAAAATTTTTCTTGGCGCAAACTGAGAAAAATGCGCCAAGATAAATTGTTTGAATTTCCTCCGTAAATTTCGTATCAAATATTGCAAAATTTCAATGTTTAGGCATAATTTGAGTCTTAGAATCGAAATATGTAAAAAAATTGGCATGTCATTACAGAAAAAGTCTGATTTTGTGTCAAAATGTCTGAATTAGATATAGTGCTATATATAAATCTAATACATATTCCTAAGTCGCGCATTTTCGAGACATGAAAAACGCAATTTGAATTTTGTCAATCGGCCCAGTAGATCGAGGAGATATAGGGACTGTCCTTTTTTTTTTTTTTTTTTTTTTTTTAGCAGTGTACCTATTGTTAGTCTATAAAATTGGAGATTACTGAACTTACCAAGTAAACATTTCTAAACATCCCCTAGATTGTATATCAGAAATGATCTCTTCAGTCATTTAAATTGCTTCACATTCGATCAGTTAAAATCTTTTATTTGGTGAGTTGATATTCTTTGTTTCAAACAAGCAAGAGTCTGTTTTACTTAGTATTATTATTCTTTACTTCTTACATTCATAAAAAATTCCTGGTCAGCATGCAGATATTAAAAGTAATGAAAATGAATTCTGTGTGGATAATTTTGAAATGTTCATTAATGCAGTGGTGGGCCTTACAAAAAAAACTTATGCTGTGGCGGTAGTCTGGTGCACATGCAGTGATATTTCACACAGCTGCTCTTAACTAGAGGGGTGGAGAAAAGAGACAAAAAAAGGTTTTTTCCACCCGCCATTAAGAAGGCCAGTCTTCTTTCCCTTTACCCATAAGCCACTACGAATAATGTCGCAAACGTGAATCGAAATGAGTGATTTCTAATACTGTTTACACTTTTTTATCCCTTAAATGTGCGCAATATTATTATTATAATTATTATATGAATTTTAAAAAATCTACTCTTGCCCATTGTTTCGTGGGTGGTGTTCGCATTGTGAAACTTATCTAGGTAGTGGGGGGGACTTACCTTTTTCATGCTTGTTTCCAATAAATGAGGAAATTTATGAATTTAAAAAAATGCATGTAAGAATTGCATAATATATATTTTTCATTATTTTACAAACTAAGTTGTCAGAAAAAAATTTTAAAATAAACGTTTGTGTAATTTTTCTGTAGCAGTGAAAGTATAAGGATGTTTGGCTGCATGGATTAAAAAACTCTGTAAAATAAGGATTAAAAAAAAAAAAAAGACTCAGTGTTTTTTTTTTTTTTTTTTTTTTTTTTTTTTTTTTTTTTTAATATCAAAGAACAAATATTTTTTCTGACACTGTTCAAAGCATGTTTTGTCTTTTTGGTACATGCATAGACCCACATTGCACGTTTTGCACATGTATCTTCTGTGTTTCTTCCTTGTGCTGCAAAATGTACATTGATTGGATTTAATTTCACTGGTATATGTCCAGTGTTATTTAGTTTCTTTTCATCTGGCACACGAAATTCTTTTTTTTTTTTTTTTTTTTTTTTTTTGTGTGTGTGTGTGTTAATGGGGGGGGCTTGGTCTTTTTGGCTTTGATATGGATCGTTCGTTTCCCCATTCATACTTATTTTATTCGTAATTTCGTCTCAAAATATTCAGAAAATATTTTTTATTTAAATAAAACTTTACACGATTTCTATTTTTAATTACAGCAAAGTATAGTTACATTAAATTTAAACCACAGGAAATAATTTATAAAATTGCAATACTAGCTGGGAGAGTAAGTGTGTTAAGGTCAGAGAGAAGTCTCTGGAAAAGAAAGACCTTTTTACTGGGCTGGGGCATGTATTATTTAGTAATAAAATAACTCTGTGATTTCCAAACCCCTTATATATATCCGGGTAAAAATAAACGTTTCTATTTGAGAAGCAAGCAAATGCCATTGTGAAGAGCAGTGGTTTCAAGGCGCAACCACCGAGCCTCTAGAGCATTGTGACACAAATGCTCTAAAGTGGGGCAGTGGTAGCACCCTGAAACCACAAAGCAAATGCCATATATAAAGGGGTTTTTTATATATGCAGTTAATTATTGCTATTTTTTATTATTTATGATAGAAATCATGATGTGCAATGAATAACTTTTGAAATTTAAAGTTGTTTATATTAATAAAAGAAAGTTATTTTCTCTCGTTGAAAACAAATTTTAAAAGGCATTCAATTTGAAGTACTAAGACCTAAGTCATGTATGATTCTGTAGTCATTTTGTGTTATTTAGAGATAAAAGGTCAGTAATCAATCGATTTTCACTCAAAAAATTTCGGAAGGAAGAGGAGAAAAAAATTTGAAAATTGATGGTTTCAAGGCGACCTCGCGTCAAAGGGTTAATGTAGTTTACTGTGGTTACAAGTGCTACCAGAACTTTCGTAATGGTTCCCAAAAAAATTATGCACTATTATTAATAGAAGCTTTTATTTAGCTGATTTCATGATGTTTATCACTATGGTTAAAATTTTGTCTTTGACTTTTAAACTGATTTATGATGAGATGTTGATTTCAAATATTGTACACACTCCTTGAGGATGAGGGTCATTTTTTTTAAATTTAATGAAACGACTTTTCACAAGTTTTATTGTTTACAGAATTGTATGTCCCATGGGGGGAAATCTTTCAAATGAAAATTTTACCATAATTTTCTTTTATTTTGGGGGGAATTTTTGAATACAGCTCCCAATTTTTATCCCTTTTGACATTATTTTTGATATCGTTCTAATTAATATATATATATAATTCACATCTAAAATGTGTTGGCTTGAAATTTTCAGATTATGAAGCAAACTCTTCAGGGTCTAAAAGATATTGTGAGATTTTTACATTTTTAAAAAATGTGTTGTGAAGCAGAATTGGAAGTATCAGTTTCAAAGTTATAATCTCACTACGTCACACTATTTTTCGTGCTTCCATATAGATTTCTATAATTTTAATTGTATTTCCTTATTTATTCATCTACGTTCCCCTTGCTGTAAAAAAATAAAGCGTACTTTACAAAAATTCTGGCATTTTATAAATGTTATTCCTGCGTATATTATACAGTCAAAAGTCGTTAATCCGGACTCGTCGGGACTTCGGCGATTCCGGATTATCGATTTTTCCGGATGTTTTCGTTTTCAATAACCTCTGGGTCACTTTCTTCACTATGGAAGCGAATTATAATGAGGAGGAACTTGATTTAAATCATATCAAAGACCCGAGATGAAATACTACACTTAGTACGGAATTATAAACCAAATAAAATAAAAATATCTGCCCTGAAGATAAGGATAGTGCTGACAGATCAACTTCCAATCTGCTGCGTGAAATTGATAAACAGATTTCGGATTTCAAAACATACTTTCGCTTTGTAGATACAAATTACATATTAGTAAATGTATATCCGAAATTCTATTTGACATAATCTTTCTAATATATCATAATGTAATAATGATGTTTCTCCTCCCCCCCCCCCTCGTAGCAGAGCAGCGTAAAATTGATAAACAGATTTCGGATTTCAAAACATACTTTCGCTTTGTAGTAAATATATATCGGAAATTCTATTTAACATAATCGAAAGTTCAAGCTTACTTTTATAAAATTGCTCTAACAGTCTGCAAAAAATAATAAGCCGGATCCAATTCGAAGATTAAGGAACAACGCAATCTGCAACATTAACTGAATTAGATAACTTTAGCTTAGCGTATAACTCCGTTACACATTAAACGCGCATGCGCACAAACATATTCGCAGCCGTAAGGGTCTTACGCGCTCTCGTAAACGCCTGTGCGCGTGCGTGAACGCGACGCATGCACAGAAAGTTTGTAGCTTTGGGGTTCGGATTATGGGTGTCCGAATTAACGACTTTTGACTGTATATAGTATGTAGATAAAGTAAAATATTTTGTAATAAATGTTTATTGTTATATATAATTTCTTGTCATTTTCAGAACCAAAAACTTATGCAAACATGGTTAGTAAAAATGCTAGTACTGTTGCTGCACCCAGTGTCCCTGCTGCTTCTAATACAACATCTCCAGTTTCAAGCCTTCCTCCTGCTCATAAGAATGATCAATCACCAGCTTTTAAAGCAGAAGGAACATCAACACCATCTGGGCAGTTGAGCAGAGATAAAAGTGAGCCGGTATGGGTTTTTCAGTGACCAATTCCAGCAGGAAACTGCACTTGCCCTCTATATTATTTTTTAATGCTATACTTAACCCATTTTATCCTAATTTATTTATTTTGTTCAAATTTGAAAAGAGTATTTTCTAAGGTTAATTAAACCTAAACAAACTAAATATAACAAAATTAGAAAATTTTTTATATTTTACAAAAGAAATCTGGCCCGTCCTCTAAATAGGACACTGGTATAAAGGGGATAAAATTTGCATTTACATGTTTTTAGTGTTCTCTTCAATGATGAAAAGTGATTTCTGTGTACAAATTTTACTTTATTCGACTAATACTTCCTTATTTACAAGATAGTTCCCTTTTGAGATGAACTTCACTCTAATCTTGGTGGAAAGGTCCAAAGCAAGCCTTAAAAAGTGTTTTATAAGTGTTTAGTAAAAAATGACCAACACTATCTTTACGGATGTCTTCTTTTGCATCAGAAGGTACAGTCCATATGCTAGGTCTACCTTTTGTTCTTAGCACAGTTTCCTTTAGATTAGATAAACTGTTGTTACAGCTCTTTGGAACTCCTTCTAGTTTAGAGCATCATTTTTGTTCAGAGTTTTGTGAAATATCTAGGCGTGTACCATAGCCATATCCAGCGAACGTATAAAAAGTGGCCAGTACCACTTTTTCCCACGATGTTTAATGGAAAAAAGTCCAGCCAACCAGTCATGGTGATCCACACCACCCATATGTTGTAAGAATTAATCAAATTTGGCATCTTTACGTTAACTTTATCTTTGTGTCCTCTCACTCGCCTCTTCAGATCAAAGAATGGTTCTAAAGTGCTGAAATTTGTAGCAACAGTGACAGTACTATTATCATTCCATCGCAGCAGGAAAATCTCAGATTTCTCGTCAAATACAAACTCAGGCGTGCCTGTTTCTTTCTTCCGCATAAACTTAGATTCTTCTAAAGGAACTCGTGGTTTATCCGATTTTCTTGTATGGTTACTGTAGCTCGAAAACCCTGTTCATCAAGATTTTTCAAAAGATAAATGCTAGTAAATAAGTTATCAAAATAAAAAGTGTAACTTGAAGGCTTCACAATATTCTGTGTTAGTTTCATCACAAACCGAGTACCAAGAAAAGTATCATTTCTCGCATCAGATTCTTTACCGCATCTGATCAGCATCTAACCAGTAGTCACGTTCGCAGGTATTTGAACGATAACCAGTTAGAAGGAAAATTCCGATAGAAACACATATTTCGTTAGCAGTGGCCGAGAAATCGTGTTAGTTTCTTTTACAATGAGATCTTTGACTTCACTGGAATAAAACTGCTCAAAAAGCTCTGATGGAGTTTTATCTTTAAATGCAGTTTCCATCTGCTTGAACAAGTCGCTTGCAATTGATTCATCCTGTGTTTTTCATTTTGTATATTGTGGTAATTTATTCTTTATCTAAGATGACTGGTGTCTTTTAGCCTTTTTTCTACTCTTTGTTGTGAAAACACTAGAGCTTGTGGACGGTTCAGGCTGGAAACTACCTTTAGTTATAACCTACAGAGACTCAGGAACATCAGTTACAATAATCTCACCAGTATTTACTTCATTCTAATCTCCTTCATCTTTGTCAGTTAGTTCACTGGTATCTGGTGGTAACATAGCAATTTCAACTTCGCTCTCATCTGTATCTAAACTATTGAATAGTTCTAATGCTTCCTCTAACTTCAGAAACCTTTGCACTAACATAACTCAGCAGGGGTGAAACACTACAATTTTTTTTATTCTTATTTATAAGGAGGGAAAGAACGTGACAATTGCATAGTCGTCCCATTGTCCTATTTAGAGGACTGTTAAAAATCAATGCGCTAAATCTCACCTAATAGCAAAGCTTTCATTAACCATCAGGATGATGAGGAAAGAGTACTTTCACATTCAAAATGCTCAGCTGAGTGTCCAGAGTAAACTAAAAACGAATTCTGCAACCACAAAGAGATGATACAAACCACGCCTACTAATGCTATGAATAATCAAAATGTCCAGAGGAAGTAGGAGGGAGCGAGGCACATAACTCATGCTAGCAGATGCTAATACATATCCCTATATATTCCAGCTGGCAAAATATTCGCACCAAGCAAATACTGATTTCTACATGCTATTTTTCAGCTGTCCTTTAAATAGGACAGTGGGATAAAATGGGTTAATTTTTTTATTTTCAAGTAAACTGTGTTTCTTTTAGTAGGGTGGGAGATGCCTGTGTGCGGTTTTGGGGAATTAGACCATTCTATGTAATAAAGGCAGTATTGAAGGCTGTTCTTGAGCATGTACATGATATCCAGGATAACAAAACACAAAGCATTTTGAGTGGGAATTTTATGTTCAAAATTTTAAGTCATTATATGCATAAATCAGAAAAGTGGATATTTTTGTCTGATTGAAAGTAATCTTAAGCTGTTGTTTCTCTACAGTAAGTGTAAATTAGATTAGATACTTTGAGAAAGTACTCAAATAAGTATTCTGTATTTGATAGTTTGTGTGTGAGTATTCAATCTCCCAAGTCCCAACAGTGATAATTTTATAGGAGAAAAGAGTATGTAAAGAAATCTTTCTAGTATAAAGTCAGTGCATTATTGCTGATATACTGGTGTGCAAAAATTAAGGACAAAGCGGAAAGATTAGCTTATCAGTGGAATGAAGTAGCAGAGTGGACTGAAAGACTAATCGGGGAATTGACTAGGGCTTGATACATTAGTATATGCTCATGTAATGCAGCTAGACGTAATGGGGGGATATTGGAGAGGTATACAGATCGCTGGCAGTATGAGCTCAGCATTTCTGGGAAGCTATTACATGTCGTATATCAGTTTAAATACCATCGAGTTGCTGCCTCAGTGTGAAATGTTGAACAGTCAGTCTGTTAAGACGTGATCTGGATGATTTAACCTGAGCTTGAATCATTGGAAAGAATGAGGAGCTCCAAGTGTGGCTGTGTAGTAGTTCGACTGCTGACAGCATCATTTCACGACTTTAGAGAGCATTTTCAAACTACAGGAACAGCTGTCTGAGGATTTAGCAGTGATCATCCATGAGCAATCACGGCAACGGACAGCCATATGTTGCCATGCAGGCAAGAAGAAATAGGCGGCAAATGGCGGGAGAAATCTTAAGATGCATAGGACATGTGATTGGAGAACCGATGTCGGGTTGTACTGTAGCCATGAAGCCGTGCAACGGTGGTTTGTTTGCATGACAACTTGTATGGTATATGTCATTAGCACCTGCTCATCGGAGAAGGCATTTTGTGTGGTGCAGAGAACACCAGTGTGAGTAGCAATTCTAAACGCATACACGTCTGGAGAGAGTGGAAAACACTCAGTAACATCATCAGAAGGGAATGGTTTGGAGGTTACAAAGTTCTCGTTTGCGGAGGCATAATGTTTAGTAACCGTGCTAACCTTTACATCTTCCAAAGAGGTTCAGCACTGGGACCTGGTATTGTAACGAGATTCACCTTTCTTACATACGTCTTTTCATAGATACTGTGGGTCCTTTGTGCCTTTTTGTGGACAAAAATTCTCCATCTCAACAAACAGTTGCTGTTGGAGACATGGATTGGCCAGCAAGGTCTCCTGATCTAAATTCCATTGAACATGTAATGGAACTTTCTAGGAAGACACATGGCAACACGTAACTTGTCACCAGTATCGATTTCAGAGCTGTAATTAGTGCTTCAAGAAGCAGTGCCTCAACAGCTGATTGACAACCTCATATTAACATGGACAGATGATCTGAAACCTGCACAGCAGTCATGAAAGATCATATCCCCTACTAAAGGCTGGATGTTTCTTGCTGGACACCTGTCACATGGATTTTTGGCCTGCTGTCGCTTTGTGATCCATGCTGCTTTTTCGATAAAGTTCCTTTCTATCCTTTTCATTTCGTTGGGGGGGGAGTTTTGCTTACATTACCCATGTTCTTGCATATTGTCAATCTTGTGGCATTATTTTTATTGATTTGTAAATCTTTTGCAGAATTTTATGTTGAAAAAAACCACCTCATCTTTAATCTTTGCGCACCAGTATGTTTTTTATATATATTTTTCATTATATGAAAAAAAATAATGAAATACTAAGCCACTAGGACATAAAATACCAGTGGGCAGCATTTAGAAGAAATGGTTACAAGAAAATAGTATTAAGTAAATGTTAAAATTATTTTAGTGTTATGTGTGGTATTGGGATTAGTAAGTGTAATCAATGGTATCCAAGGTTTTTGTTTGCTTGTTTTGAGGAAATTCAGTGATTATCAGATTGGAAGTGGAAAATATGAGGTCCTGCCTGTTAAAAATTTACCGATTAAAAAATTAAAAAACGTCATTGATAGATTTACCCCTGAGTAGAAATGATATATTTTGACAAGCCCCCCCCCCCAAAAAAAAAATAGACTGTTGTACTTACAAAATGTTTTGCAGCAATTTCAGTGTGTAGTACAGTGGTGTAGAGAACACAGACTGGACACCTCATCAGTTGAATTCTCTTTACCAGTGAGAGTTGTTTCAGTCTGACGAACAATTCTCGATGCCATTTAATATGGAGATGAATAGGGATGGACCCATCTAACATCAGGGAAGGAAATTGTTGGGCTAGACCTAGCATTCTTGTATGAGGATGCATTATGCTGAATGGATGGAGCTCCACATTTTCTATACCAAAAATCATTACTTTAATGAAGTTATCCTCCCTACATGTGGCTTTGATTTTATGGGTATCAAAGCATGGCCACACTGGACTTATGTTAATGAAGAGCTTTTAGAAAGTGAAGATGTGTACAGAATAGATTGGGCAGTGTGCTCTTGTCATTTAAATCCTAATAAACATGTGCAAGATATAAGGAAGACACTTAACATGATCTAAAACAGATGTTTCATCAAGAATGAAAACGCTTACCTCCAAGAATGTTAGATACTGTGGTGTTAAGTATTGACAGATGGTGCAATTCAACCATTGCAGTTAGCGTAGGCCTTATCCCTTACTAGGTCGGTCGGTTTGGTTTATTCTCTTTCTTGGCCAGACAGTTTTTCATACCAATGCCATTCTGTCAATAAAGCCTCTTTTTTTTTGTTTTTTTTTTTTTGTTTTGTTTTGTTTGTTTCATTTTCTAAGTTCTAGATTGTACCTCCGTAGTATATGAATTTCGTATCTGGCAGTTAATTTTTTGCAATATTATGGCCAAAATCAGAAAAATTGCTTAAATTTTGCATACTATTGTACTTTTTGCCAATGAAGGGTGTTGCCTTATCAATACTTTTTGCAGCTTTTCTGTTATGATACGGTTATCAATTTTGTTATACACATTTTTGTACATGTATAGTATATTTTCTTAAATATGTATGTTGCAGAGATTTTTTTATGCAAAAATTTTTAAAAAATTACGAAAATCTTAATTGGGAATTGATTTAATTATTTTTGAAAAATAAATTATTTTATGCTTCTCTTTTGTGTAATATTTCAGTTTCTCCTAAAGAAGATTTTGATGATTTTTTTAATTATTGTTAATAATTAATATAGGTAACATTTGGACAGCAAGCCAATCGCATGTCACGTCCTAGACTGAATTCTGGAAGGAGTGGTGTGCCACGTTTCGAAAGTGGTCATGAACATTCTGCAAGATCTCCTGATGATCTTGATGCTGAAAAAAGGAAACCTGCCTTTATTCATTATCCGGATTCTCATCAGCTTTTTGTTGGCAATTTAACACATTCTATCACAGAAGAGGACCTCAAAGTGCATTTTACACAATTTGGTAAAGTTCTGGATATGAGGATCAATACAAAACAGACCCAAAAACTAGGTGGAGGAAAAGTACCTGTAAGTATCAACAGTGATATAACATTTATATTCAGTTTAGCATGACTCATTAAATGTGGAGTTAAGAGCACCAATATCTAGTGCAGCTCCAAAAAACATGTTTTCACACACACCCCCTCCCCCAAGAAAACTATTTCTAGCTTGCTACTTTTTATAGAAGCCTTACTGATAGCAAAAGTAGTAGTTTAATATTATATATACTGTAAACTACATTTCCATGCAATAAAATAAGCTAGAGCAAAATTTTTTAAGGGAGTCATAAAAACTAAAAAATATATAGTAATATATAATTTATAGTACAAGTTTAAAAACCTCTGTATCAGATAAATTGTGTTTAGTATATGCATTAATCTAGAGATAGTATAATGCTTAAATCTAATGTCAACACTACACATTAAAAAAGTGAAAGGTTTCATGATAGATAAAACAAAGTAACAAGTTAGGGGGGATAAAAAATCCATATAGTGAAGCACTGATGTTCAACTTTTACTTCAAATGAGATATTTCTTCTTCGCAGCAGTGCCATGTCTATGTATAAATTATTCTCTTAGTTAAATTTTACTATATTACTTAGTTTGCATCAGAATATTAAACATGATTAAAACTAACTAAGAAATGTGGGCATAACAAGCATACAGCATGCTTTATTATTTTATTACTTGAGCTGACCTCAATACTCAGAGTAGAAAAAAGGCTATGGTAATATTTCTGTAAAATTCTACAATTAATTGTTTGGTTTACCTATATTTACCATAGTCTCATGCATATTTTTATCCTTTTGTACTAATTTTATCGTCTAAAAGTTGAGAGGGAATATTATGCAAATAATATCCTAAGGACAAGATTACAGTAAGAGCACAACAAATGAAAAGTAGTCATGTATAAACTACGAAGTAAATAACAATTTATTTCTTTTTTGAAAAAGCTACAATCTTTTAAGAATAAATAATAATATTGTTGTGTTTCTGTATGGGTTCGTGGATTTGGATGTTTGACAACAAGACTTGAAGAAACAAAACACAATTTATTTTCTAGTATTACTCAGGACAGTTCCTAAAACACATTTATTTACTGTTGTTGAAAAACTACTATAAATATGCTGAAACAATAAAAAACACAGCCTTTAGGTATAACATTGAAGACAGCTTCATGGCAAAGCACCAGAGTACAGCTCCTGGTTCGTTTTGGTCGTTCTCAGAACTCTACATGCTCTATGCTACAAATCGCAATGTACTCGATGATAAGCACTAGAGTATCGCTCCTGGTTTGGTCATTCTTGGATCTCAACACACTCGAAATAAAACTCAACAAGGCACTAACTCACGATAGACGAGACACCGACTGACTCGCTAGACTCTACCTCCTACTCCGCGTTCAGGCAGGGTTGCTATACTACCGGAAAAACTGGAAAAGGTCAGGGAATTTGAAAATTGACCTAAAAATTTAGTGAATTTAAGTATTTTAGCCAAAATCTGGGAATTTCATATGGCAATTCCCCGAAAAAAGCATGTTTTGCTCCAACGTTGGAAGCGATCACTTTCTTATCGAATTGTGTATTGCGTGAGCATCATTCAGGCAGGTGGCATAGAGCACAGCTCCAATTAGATTGTCTTTTAGAAAGGCAAAGCAAGTTTCCAGCAACTTCGATTTCCAGTAACGCGAATCGCATGTGCAAGTTTAACTAAACAAAATACTTATTCTCCTGTAAAACAAAATTGGTTTAATCCTAGTATACGGTACTATGGAGGTTAGAATCAAAGAATATGTATTGTTAACCTTTTCACGAGGGCGCACCTTTGTTTAAGACGCTCGTGCGGGACGGAAGGGAATCAAAGGTAGTCACCGTACAGGACAGAAATTTTGCATCACTAAGCCTAATTTTATATATAAAAAAAATCAGAAACAAAAGTTTCCCTTCTATCATCGTAATTTTTGGTATCATTTTAGATTATTACTTGAGCTCTTATATATGCTAAAATTAGCACTTAATAGCGTGTTCTTTCCCCCCTCCTATATTTTACATGAAAATATACTTAAAAAATTGCTTATCTTGTAAAATAATTTTTGGAAGCGCTATTAAAATTATTCCAAAGTTTTAATTGATAAAATCCATCAATAAAGTTTCTTAGAAAAAGTATTACTTTCTGACTCTTCAGAAAATGAATCAACATTCTCATCTGCATTAATAAATGGTTCATTGACCATATGAGGGTATTCTTCCTCTGATAAATAGTGCCTTCCCGCCATAAAGACTAGAGGTGAGGCTTTCCGAAATAAAAAGAGAAGAAATGGAAATATAGCTGAAGGCAATGCAAAACGTAACAATACTCCACATGTGCTTGGTTGCTTCTTGTATTAGGCTTGCATAAAGTTCAACAGTTAGAAGGAAATGGTTTGGTGGTGACCTTAGCGAGGTTTATCTTTGTTAGCAAGGCAAAAACAATCACTATGTGGATAATTCCATTTCTAAATTGGGGGGGGAGCTTGTTCTCTGGATGCATTAAAAAATGGGACTTGCGTGAAGAAATGCAGTTTTTACTCAGTGCTAGTGAAACTATGCGAGATCAGCAAGTGTTTGTGCCCGAATATATTGGGGAATTTTGTCATGATGGTTTTTATTCCATAGTAATGAATGGTCAGTAAATTAGTTAATTGTAAACATTTTATAAATTCAAGAAGCATAAAATCCTTCTCTCCCCTTTCCAAGACTAAATTATTTTTTGTCTGCTAATTTTTTCGAATAGCAATAAAAAAATTCAGATACGAGTATAGAAAAATGTCTATGATTAAGGGAAGTCACACAATTCAAATTTGCTTAATTAAAGTAACAATCATATTAGGATTTATGTTAATTGAAAACATGTTTTAATATTTCTTTTCATTATGATTTGTAGAATTTTGGTTTCATTGTATTTGATGATGCTGAATCTGTGCAAAAGGTTTTACAAGCCAGGGTAAGTTTTTTCACAATTTATTTTCCTCATTATTAAATTAGTTGTATCCCTGTATTTGTAAATATATTCTAGTATATGTGCAGTATTATAATATTATATATACAGGGTTTGTAAAGTCTTTGAGTCCTTAAAAGTCCTTAGAATTTTTGGAATTGAATTTTGGTCCTTAATTTTAATCATCTGAATTTTCTGTCTGTTTTTACCACTGCCATTTTGAGTGTGGACTATCATTTTAGAGGAATATTTTTGGCGATTCACTGACATATATGGTTTTCGAAATGGGTTATAATTTGTTGGTTTTCGAAATGGGTTATAATTTGTTTCCATTTTTAATATAAATGATGGGATACTAGAAAGAATTTTGAAATTAATTTTTTCTAATAAAGAGGTCTTAAACAACTTTTCACTTTTGGGGATGTGAATTCTTTTATTAAACAGTTCTAAATTTGGCGGTTTTAAGATCAGTTTCTATAGAAAATATTTACTTCAGAAATCTGAGGAAGTTTCGATTTTTTTTTTTTCCCCCCTAAGTATCGTAACATTGATAAATTTCATTCAATAATGGTAATATTTTGAAATTATATTTAAAAAATAACATTAAAAACATTTTTATTTTTCGCTGTCATAAAGTTTCATTTTGGCAACTTATTACACAATATTTTGAATCTGGGGAAAAAAAAAAACAAGGTATAATGTTATAAAGCACAATTTACGAAACAGCTCTCAGCAAGAGAAAAATTAGCTATATAATAAATTAAAAATGTGGTTGTTTTAATTTGTTCAATTTCCCCATGTAATTTTCTCAGAATATGCATGAGTTTTCTCTATGAAATTAATTTGACACTTTTGCCTCTTCCCCCTTCCCCCCCCTCAAAAAAAAATATTTCTGTCTTTTTGCTGTTACAGAATTAGCAGTGATAATTTTTCTTTGGGATTTTAGACATTCCACCTTGGAAAGATTAGAAGGATTTGAAGGTTTAAATAAAAATAAATGTTTTGCAGCTTTTAATGTGTAATTATCCTAATATCGCTTTAGAAGTCAATGTCCTAAATTATATGTATTTTAAAGTGTGCAATTTTTATTAGATTTTAATAGGGCTTTTTTAACAAAATATTGTTAAAAAATAAATTTTAATAGTTGCCATGTGCATCCATAATGACTAAGGTTATCTAACTACCTAATTTAATTATTTGTAACTAAATGTTTACCTTTAAAAATTATTTCTACATATTAAAGCGAGTTATAGCTTTTCATTAATACTCACTGTGGTCACAAGATAGAACACAAAAATGTAAAAATTCAAGTAAAACTTATTCTTTGCATCTAGTGAGACTTAAAATAATGCAAAACAACATAATCAAAACTTTTCGGTCATATGAATCGCATAGCTTTTACTTTAGCTCTGTCTGTCTAAATGTTCAAGAAACATGTTCAAAGACCTTTCTTTTGTTGATTAGCTAACTTCTACATGTAGCACTATTTTATTTTCTACAGTAAATGTTAACAATAGCAACAACGATAAATTAAGGCTGAATTCAGACAAAATTACAAAGATGTCTAAATTCAGCCTTATTTTATTGCAAAATTATGCCTTTATTTATTTATTCCAGTGAATATTTATTTTGAACAAATCATTTTAAAAGTTATGTTTCTATTTTTCTCTGTCTTTTATCATGTGTATTGTATCATCTATCAAATACTCTATAAGAAAGGTTTAACATTTTTATATACAAAAATTTGTTATGTAATGTATTTATTCATATTTGTTTATTCTTTTTTAATTCTGAAATAATTGTGTGTGTTCTGTTTGTTTTCTAGCCAATATATTTCAATGAACACCGTTTGAATGTGGAAGAAAAGAAACGACCAAAGGATAATCGTATTAATTCCAATGATAACAGGGTTGGTCTTCCACGTGGTGGGCCATCACCACGGGTTGGTGTTGGAGGACGTGGCCCACGTGGTGGTATGATGCCTCAAGGAACTGGTAGAGGTGACAACAGGGGAGGCATGAGAGGAAATTACGCTCCTCGACGTTAATTTTATAAATTAACCGTATTTTCCGGTCAACGTTTAGTTATCACAATGTATGGTCCTTACTGATTACATGTTGGACATCTGGTGCCTGGATAGGACACATTCACCAGTCACCTTGTGTTTATTTTTTATTATGTCAAGCTTTCAGGTTTCATTTGCTGGACTTCATTACTCAAGTAACAGTGAAGGAGAAAAAAATGTAAATAGAAAAGTGCTTTAACCATGTTCTGTTTTGCTTACGAGTGTGACTTCATAAATCTTTGATTTCTGCTTCATGAAAATCCAGCCTCCACAAGTTGCCAAACTAATGTTCATGTGCATCTTGACACTAACTTGTAAATTAGGTACCAATAAATCCAAAATGGTATGTTAATATGCGTGAAGCATGTTTCTCTTAGAGCTTTATGGGTGCCACGAGGGGATGTAGCCGGCATCATTAACTTTCTTTCACTAGTTCGTCTTTTTGTACTAAAATCACAGAACCATTTGTGATAGTTTTTTCAAGAAATTGTCCATCAGTACAATTGTGATTCAACGGACATTTAAAACTGGTGCTCAGTGATCTCATCTTTGTAAGATATTCATATTGTGTATTACCATTGAAGCTGCTACTTAAAAAGAATTGCTTGCCTTTGGCTATATCTAAAATAAAATATTTTTTAATTTATAAATCAAATTCTGGAAGTAATTACATCAAATTACACTACCTCATAAAGCTTTGAGATATAAAAAAAAATCTTTTGCAAAATTATAATGAAAGCATATGCATATTAATTCATATTTGCTTTCCCCCCTGTCCATTATGTGTATTGATTATCATTGGCTTTTAAATTTTTCTCCCTGAATTTTTTTAAGTTTTTTTTAAGAAATTTGTTAGCTGTGAATATTATACAGGAAGAATTAAATCCTGCATTTATATTATAATGACGTTTATTTCATAAGTAGGATGTTTGAAATTCTGATTATTGAGCTTGTTTGTTGTTAAAAAAATATATTTATTATAAAGTCCTTTTAATGTTATGAAGTTAGACTTTACATTGAAAGAAGTGATTTCAAGTGTAAATGTTTATAAACAAACCTTTTGTTAAATATTTTATGTAGCTTGAGTTGCTTGTTTCATTGTTGAAATTTTATGTGAGATTTTAATTTCCTTTCTGAATGTTCTGTCATACTTCCAGCAATATCTTAATAACTGCAATTATCCTAAAAAATTTAAATAAGCATACAGTTCGTGTTGTGATCCTCTATATTATATTGTTGGGATCAAGTGAGAAAGTAGGGCTTTGTTAGAGCAAAGTGTACTTAATGGATGAATTTATCCCATTGTGAAAAAATTTGGTTTCCTTTTTCATGTAAATTGTGTATTTTTGTCCTGCTGTGCCATTTGCATATTTCCTCAAATATGTAGCCCAAAAAAAATGTGAGATTCTCTTCCCCTCCCAATTAAATTAAATAGCATAAAATAGATTTAGTTTATTTAATGCTATTTGATTTAGCTTTCTGTCACATTTCTGATTTTTCTTTTCTCCTTTTGTGTAAAATGTGTCTTCTCCTCATGAAAGTGTATTAATTTTAATTTAAATGCTTTTTTTCCCATCATCATAGACTTATTTTAGACCTAAGTTTCTTGTATTTAACATCTTCAATTTGCAAGATTGCTTGTAGATATGCCTAATTTGGTTTCATCCTCGCATTTCTGTGTGTTTCAGTATATGGATTGAAGTAGCTCTAAATGTGGCTTTTATTCACATTTTGTTTTTCTTTTTCATATTTAAATGTCCGAATTGGCTATCATTTTTTACATTTGTTAAATGTTTTTGTATTGTAATATGATAGGTTGTATGGCCTGCATGCTCTAGGTATAAATTTCTAGAAATGTTCTAGTCCTAGTCTATTTATTTAAGTAACTAACTTTATTTCCGCCCAGTATAGTTTATTTCATAGTTAAATGAATAATTAGAAAGTGCAAATTAGGAGTTATTACATTTCAATTAATAATACAGTGTTAAATTTTATCTAATAGTAAGAAATATATTAGGAATTCTGATATTAAGGGTATAGCAATTTTAGTCACTTTTTTGCTCATTTACAGATATGAGAGCACCATTTTATTTTTGTGGTGTTTTATCAAATTTCAGTTTTTAAAGATTGGAGTGGCACAAATGCTGATCATCAAATTAAAAAATTTTCATTAGGATTTTTGAATTTGTACACCAAGAGTGCCATTTATAGTGTAAGCGAATATTTTGGATGTTAAATGTTACTGTTGATTCTACCAGTAAATTTAGATGGTAACCGATACCGTGAATAAAAAAAAAATTTTAATATTTTGTGTGGAATGCGAAGTTTGTAAGCGTCGTGGTAATACATGTAATTAACTTTATAAATGCTGAATCAGACGCGTTAGATAACCATGTTTCCAATTTTTTTAAGTGTAGTATCAAATCTAAAAGCAGTGTATGAAGCATTGCTAATTACATATATGTAAAAAATGTATATAGTGGTTTGTGAAATTAATCTGATTTAACTTTTAACGTATGGGTGTTACGTGTGATATAAGTTTTGTAGCATAAAATTAGAATTGTAAATTGGAAACTTATTATTTTCTCCTTTTGAGAAACTTTAAAATTGCTATCCATAGATTCTTCTCTCTTCTGTTTTGTACTGGGTTTAACCTGGCACAAGAAAGTTTTTATTAAGTTATTTAGTTTAGAAAATATTTTGCTTTCTTCTTTCTATTTTAGTGTCCAGAAATTTTATTTGTTTAATTTTTTACAAAATTTATGTACTCTCGGCATCAATTTCTGTATAGAATGCGGTGTTGATTGTTCACATCAGCTGAAGAGATTAATTTTTTAAGCTAATAGAGAAATTCTTATACTCCTCTATGTCAGTGTTTAATGTGTACATTATTGTTTCATAGTGACTTATTTTGATCAAAATTTAAAAATAAAAATTGTTGATCTTTCTTTAAAAAAAAAATTTTTTTTTTTTTTTCAGCATCTACTTCATTTCAATAAAATTATAATGTTTTTTCTTTTATGTTTCATGTGTCTTCAATTTTAAAAATTGAAATTAGTATATTGAAAATTTAACTAACAAAATGTAAAATCTAATACTGATAAAATTCAAAACTTTTGAGTGAACTGTTCAGTGTCTATTTTATTTGTATTTAGCGATCAGACTGGGCAAATGAAGGTATAAATACCCACATATTCTTAAAATCCTACAGAAATGTATGTTTTAGTATATAAGTCCATATGTTGGCATTGACAGTCTTTCTTTAGCTAAATGCCGTTAGCTTAAAATTTGTAAGCTTCTTAGAATACTGAGAGTTTAGTGTTGTGATTTTGGATATGTTTATGCTTTGTTTAAGGTTCAAAGCACAAAAAGTGCCTTGTATTCTTTATGGAAATTATTTTTTGCCAGAAGTTTGTTATATGTACATGAACAACATCAAGTCTTTTTATGATCAGTTTCTAGTGATTCCTTGCAACCCTGAACGACCGTATTTTCACTAGTTTTTTTTTTAATTGAAAATGGTGAAGTGCATATCATTTCATAGGGAAGGAGGTAATGGAAGAACTTTGAAGGATTAAAAAAGCTTTATCTTTGTTTTCCCTTTTGCTACTCGGGGAAACAAAAGATGTGATATCTTAATGGGAACCCATTAGTCGTACAGTGCTGCTGTTTACATCGGCTATTTCGAGATTCATTATCCTCCTTGATCCATTAAAAGCATGGTACGTCCAAAAAATTCCTGAAGGTTGTTTGACATATGTGTAATGCAGTTTGAGATTTGAATAAATTAGATTTTCCCTAGAGATTGCTGCATCAACATGCTGTCACATTTACAAGTTCTTCCGATTTTCGATCACAGCAACCTGATTTACAGTATATTTCTCCTAATTTTCTCTTATTCCTGAAATTTATCTCTATTTTTCTTATTCTGTTATTTTCATCCAGGCATGCAATTTCCAGCATGTGAGGTTTTTATTTTATGCTTTGATTTACCTATTTTATAAGACGTTTTGTACACTGCTACGTCTGTGGAAGTAGGCGTGCGTGTTTAACATCATGATCCAGTTTTTCAGTGCACATCAAGCATTGTTGCTGGCCATTTGTTAATGAGTACGGAACAGATTGAAGTATTTCTGCATTTTTTTATTTCTATACAGTGTGAGTGTCACGTTTTTAATTGCTTCTTGATGTGGTTTAAGGATTTGTAATCTGTTTTCTTAGTTATATCTCTGGGGAAAATAAAATTTTCCATATATTATTGTATAATTTTTCATTCAATATGTTTTTCACAGTGAGTTTCAAATTATGATAGAAATGCTGATGTACTAAAGCATGCATGCACATTATTTAGTTTTAATTGTGCTGAAAATAAATTATTCTCAGGTTATTTATGCAGAGGGCTTATTTTCTGCATTTTTGCTTCTGGTTACTCTGTGCCACTGAATACCTTCAATCATGTTGTTGTTTAATTTGGAAAACAAATGTGTAACGATATCAAAATCACTGAGAAATATTCAGGTAAAAGAGAATACTACTTATGTTGTGAAAAATGGTGTTCCGGGAATCTTGAAACATGAAAACAGATTTGCAAATTATGCAGTTTACCTGCCACCTTTAAAATTGTCTGAGAAAGGTGCAACTTTTTTAGCAATAAACATAGCTGAAATCTTGAACGAGTCCTAAAAGAAATAAGTAGTTGAGTTCTTGAGCAAAAGCTAACTTGGAGTGATTGGGAAATGAAAGAATGAAATGAAGCCAACTTCTGTTTAGTCAACTGACAAGTAGATATTCGACCTGTCTGTTGTGGTTTAAGCACATGCTTCTCCTTCATAATTTCCAATCCTGCAGCTGAAGGGAAAGATTCTATTTAACCTTCGAAAACTAGCACTGCAAATTTATAACAACTTCCTTGGATTCTTTTTGTTTTTGTTAATATTTCGTAATATCTTTGGAAAATGATTTTAAAGGTTTCCTCAAAGGAAAATATTCTGTTTTTATGCTTTCTAATGCTCAAAGCAGTAATCCGATGACTGCAGCTCTCTGGTCAGTGCTGGATTTATGTACAAGTTACAGCTTAAGGCACCCACATTTTTGAGGGCCAACTATAAAATTTTCCCATATAAAGTGCCCTGTATCTCAAACAACTTAAACCTTCATAAAGTCTAAATCCAAACAGCCCTGTCTGCAAGCATGGTTCATCCTAAAGAGAAAAGGGTATCATTCTTTGTAATGGTGAGTATCTGTAAGAAATCTTAATATTCTACTAAATTGTCTCATTGCTAATGCTGTAGGGTAATGGTTCTAAATTTGAGGTGTGAACTGCCCTGAAACTGGGAGAAAATATTTCCATGACTACAAGAGTGTTTTTTTTTTACATTAGTAGTGAATACTACTTTGACGTTTGGAATATAATGTTAGGATACAAAAAAGCTCTCTTGACTGTCCCCACTTGGTACCCTTAAAAGTTAGATTAAGACGAAACATACAGATTTTAAAATAGAGACGAAATATTCACCGTTTGAGCAATGCAAAGTATGTCATTCTAAATTGTGTGAACATTATGCAAATGGTAAGTCATTTATTCTATCTTAAATCACAGCTTATACTTATACACACTTTCCTCTTTTAATACCACACATTATCACGTCACTTTTAATTCTTAAAATACAATTAACATTATGTCCTTCATGTGTATAAAACAATAACATTCATAATTCAAAAGAATACTCGTTGAACTGTATATTAGTTGCTAATATTTACTTTGCTATCACACCAAAATTTTATGCAATAGAACCATCTCGACTAAAGTCAAATACGAGTCCTTCCGGATACATGCTTGAGGCAAACCTCGAGAGGAAATTGCAATTTTTGCGCTAAGATATAAAGTAAACTGAATATATAGAGAAATTTTCACTCATCTTTCACTTCTGTGGAATTCTCAGAGTTTTTGAATAAGTTTTCAGAACTGGTGTGGTTAATTTGGATTCTCTTGTGAAGCTGATTGCTTCTCTGCTGTTCTGTTGGTAGCTTGCATTTCTGTGAATTCTGTAAATGTATGCAAAAGTGCATGCACTTTTGCACCTGGGTTGTAGAAATTCAGCTATAGCGACACTCATCTTTGAGAAACAATCTGATCTGCCGTCAAAGATCTCGCCAGCTGTCCTGAGAACTTCCTGAAATTTAATTTTCGCTCCAACAGACATTGGAAAATCCATTCCCAGTATCAGATTCGTCTAAATTTTTCACCAACAAATAAGCCACATTCTGTTGCATATTTTTAACCAGCATGTACTCTATATACTAAATAATATTGTTTTTAATTATTACTGTAATTAATTGGATATGGGAGTTTTTTTATTATCTGGGAGTAACTGTACCTTCTTTTATTGTAGCTTACTTTAAAGATTTCTAATTTTCTTCTTCAGAGATTTTGCCAATCACCATTACTGGATGAAAAAGTCTAGCGAATTTGGAACCGTCAATGCTTGGGCTTCCTTCTGTATGTTCTGTAAAAATGCCCACTAAAACTCTGCTCCAGGGCCGTTCCTAGGCCCATTGGCTGTGTTTCATACTAAGTACTTACAATTAATTTATTGAATTTAAAATATTTACTTGTGGTATCGCAAGAGTTTGGTCACCCGTCTTATTTTAGAGTGTGTGTACCTTTCCGTGTATTTTTTCACTCGTATACTTTTATGCCCTGAACCCTTTCTAGGAACGGCCCTGCTCTGATCACATCCTACTGTACGTGTATTCATTAACATACGCCTGCTTTCAAACTTCACCGCCAATTCAAACCCACATTTCTTAAGTCGCAAAAACCTAGGCAATATTTAATTAACTTCTGGGTCTACATTCTTAATTAAATTCGATGTCACATTTTTTCCCCTTCATCACTCAGTTTACCATTTTGGGCCTCTTCAAAATAAAGTCCATCAGATATTTGCCAAAAAGGTTTTTTTTTTTTTTTTCCCAATGGCGGGCCATCAGCCAACTTCGGGTTGGCCACTACTAAGGCCAGAAGTGGCGCTCACTTTATTTTGCAGGTACCTAATGAGTAGGCCTTCTGTGAAGGGACGATCATTTACAACCATGCCTTTTCCGGGATTCGAATCCAAGCCGTCTGCTGTTGCAGTCGTCTTCCCTAACCACTGTAGCATCTGGGCAATCTTTGCCGATAAGTTCCACTTCAAATTTTGCCCTAATCTAACCAGAAAGAATGCTTTCAGTTTTAAACACTTCGAACTTAAACCTCTCGCTGCCTGATTCACCTAAGAAATTTTTCCAATTTGCACCAGCTCTTTGCCTATCTTCGAAGAGCTGTGGTTGTTATCATGACATTCTCTATCTCCAAAGGGTAATGATACAAAATGTACTTCTAATTGTTTCACGAAGGGCATTACTGAATTTCTATCATTGAATATGGTGGGGACGTAGGCTGAAGGCTATGTGGTTTGTATGTGTTCGTATACACTCTTTTGCAAAAAAATCTAAGGACTTCTGCAATCGTGACAAAATGTAGTATGCAAAAACACATGCAAATGAACAGGGATTGCAATCATAGTGGGCAATTTGCAAAGTATAAAACCAGTAACAGAGGCAGAAAATTTATCTTTTTTTGTTGCAGGCCATTGTAATTCCGTAAAGATGCCATTACGACAATATTGAAGACCTTACAAATGACTTCGAATGTGGTTGCATGAAGCTGGGTGGTCATAGTGAGCTAAAGGCCGTCAACCTGCAGCGTACAAACACTGCTGTGTGAAGATGTTGGCAGCAATGGTTGCTACAAGGAAATTGCCGACAAAATGAAGGACTCTGGAAGGCCAAGCATCGCAAATGCGAAGCAAGATAGGGTTATTGTTTGAATCGCCCTAACAGCATCATTTTCGACTATTCAATGCACTGCAGCCACGTCTAGACCTCCCGTGGTACCAAACATTCTCATGCCGCTTGTCCGA